TGCCGAATCAGTCGTCTGCGAGTCCTGAGATGTCTCGACCTTTGGTGAATCCTCTTCGGGAGGGGAGTAATCAAGCTCTACTCTACAAATCTCTCTCTCAATCTCTTCACGAGGAGATGAAGAAAGCTGACGATCGTTGAAGGGGAAAATAGAAGGAATAGCGTCAACCTTGAGTCTCTTTCTTTCATCTAAAAATAAGACATATTTAATAAAACGTTACTGAAAATATATTATTAAAAAAATGGGAAAGGTATGACCAGTAAGATATGACCACCATGTTAAATTTTCCTGAATTGAAATATATATAGGCATATCTCTCAATATTGCTCATAGCGTGGTGGCAACGAAGGGCAATAGCACTCGAGAGCTAATCTCAATATAACAATAATAAAACATGTAGAATGAATGCCGGTGATTATGGCCAAGTACCTGGTACCAGGTACTGGTACCTCGTACTAGATACATCTGGCCTCGACGATTGGCAGCCCGGATATCCGCGCGAAGCGCGAAAAATGCCGCATAGTGACACACTAACACAACTACACTGCACCGATTCTACACAATGAACAGGTCCCCTATATATGCAGAAACGCTGCAATCGGTCCATTGAGCAGCCATTGCACAACGGGTTTCACTACCCAGGTAGCTAGACATTTCCTCGAAGTGCTCGTACAAAATTTTTGGCTACTCGGCGCGCTTTGTTTCCTGAAAAAAAACCAGTTTATAACTTTTTTGTTGACATCACTGTACATCAGTGTACGTCAGTGTAGTACATATGGCGTGCGATAGATGGCGCAATGAGGCTATATGCATAGCATTTCCCTACGACTTTCCCTGCAGACGGGTCGGCCGGCTATAACAGGGTATAAGTGGGTATAACCCGCCTAACGGCTAGACTCCTACCAACTGGACAGTTCGACACGCTTCAGTGTAGCGAAGGATACTTGCCCGAGTGAAGGTGGCGAACGTGTACCAGTCTAGCTATAACCTCCCCAAACTGCATCCAGCGCCTCCATATTGCACGAAGCCTAAGTTCGGTACAACGATAGAGAGCATGGCGAGACACTGTTTACTCGACTACACAACAAATTGTGTTTACGCAGGTCTTCACTCGGGGTGATACAATTGTATCCACACCTACGAATACTTCTATTACTACAAGTACATGTTACAATAATTACTAGTAAGTACTACTACTACTACTACTACTACTACTACTACTACTACTACTACTACTACTAAGTACTAGCACTACTACTAGTACTACTAGTACTAGTACTAGTTACTACTACTAGTACTAGTACTAGTTACTACTACTAGTACGACTACTAGTACTACTACACTACTAGTAGTAGTACTACTACTACTATTTACTACTATAGTACTAGAGCTACTACTACTAGTACTAATACTATATAGTATAGTACTACTACTAGCTCCAAGAATACCCCTATGCTAGACAACCCCTGCTTATATAGCAAGCAATTTACTCTAGCTAGTTCCTGATACTGACAATGACAATGGCAGTGGGAGATTGTAGTAGTAGGGGTGCATTAGTCCGAGCCGACGCAGACCCCAGTAATGGGGGTCATGATAAACCAGCACCCTCAGATTAGCAAAGCGGAGTTATAACGTCTGCATTTGCGGACTAGGGGTGCATATGATATAAGGCAAGGTCACATATAGATGATAGAGATGCGAGATAATGTATTAATTGTTTATATATATAGAAAAAGAAGCTCTCAGCAAATGATTAGATACTATATATAATGCTAATGAAGTAAGCTGTATTGAAATGCTGCACTTTCGCCTTATTGCTGTCATTGAAAATCGAAAATCAAACTCTTTCGTACACTCAGGATACCACTGCCACAATGCTAGCAGTATTTTTAATGTGGGCGCAGCTCCGGGGAAATGCAGTGAATGGCGATTCTTAAACGGCATATGATTTCAAAGAGGTAACTGCTGGGCGGCTCAATCCGCCGTTACTATTTTCGTATCACTATTTATCACCATTTTCGCATTAAATAATTGTCCGATTTTTTTATGTTTGGGAAGTTATAGTGAAAACGCCTAAGACCGACACGGAAATGGAACGCATCGCTGAAATCAAAAGCTCACTCCACCCCCCCCTCTGTACGACCCCCCATCTAGTCGGCGAGTTCCTTCCAGCATCCCAAATGTCTGCCCTCTTGTGTCGCCGG